CACCAGAAACTCCAAAAAAAGGGTGGGGTGGGGGTTGGGTGGGGTGGGGGGGGCTTCTAAACAAAATACATGTACTTTTGTGAAGGAAAACATAATGTCATCTAAACATCCCATGTACATGTCTGCTCACAACTTTTCACCGTCAGCCTTAACAATTCTGACTTCTTTCGTATTTTGACCTTCGGCTTTAAGTGTTTTCCTTTTTGTTTTGTTTTACATTCACGATTGAGAGTTCTCGCGCTTATATCCTTTAGATTGTAGGAGAGGTGACCCGTACAAACCACTGCTTGTCCGCGCGGGAGGTGGCTTCGGATGCAGGCTTTGCCGTTAAACATAAAAGCATCAGTTGAAAGGAAGGACCGACGGTGGCCTTTGGCAGGTGGTAAACGAAGAGAAAAGTCTAGTTAATCTTCAAACCTGGCGGCATTCAGGACTTAAGCCCGGCCACATGGCAAGCATTTTTCCAGTTTTTGCATGGCGCACACAGGATCTACGTGTGAGAAACGGTGGTTCAGCTCAAAAACACACTCGTTCTCAGCTTGTCTCGAACAGCGGACCGAGACCTCTCAGCATCGACAAAGAAATCAATTCGGGATCACACAGTCGGCGCATGTCGTGATTCGTGAATGTTCCTGTACTGTTCTGGGGAATGACTGCGGCTTTCACAAACGGTGATAGGAGCACCACCGCCGGAGCTGTGGTGGCATTTAGACTAGATTTAAATGATTTGCCCAACCGATGTCTCACTTGAGCGATGTGCGCCAGGAAGGTCCGGTGGTCGTGCCAGAAAGTCGTTGGCCTGGGTTCCTGCACTCAGAAATCTTCTTCTGTGGAGCGGCAACAAGATGTGGAGGCACTGAAATTGGTAGAGGTAGATTGTGGGCAGGGAGCTGTCATGAACAAGCTCACCATACAGACGAATCCGGGCGACTTCATGATCAAACTGGTTGCACAGTGTTGTACGGCAGTGGCAACCCCTGTCGTCACACGACCGTACCGGATGTTCCGGCGACAGCCCGATGTCAATGTCTTTTCCGGCATCTATTGCCCTGCCTCAGACATAGATGCGTCAGGCCGCCAGGCGTTCGTTAAAAACCGGACGCTGCTTGAAGCCAGTGGTTGGTTGCAACATCGCTTGATGTACGACCGTGGAGAGGGGCGCTGGTGCTTGAACGCAGGACAGAGCAAGCAGTGGATGTGCTCCGGCGCTGACGTGGTACATCCCTTGGATTTAGGATCGGCTTTGGAGTTCCGAAAGCTTGACGCGGCTCAAAACCTTCCTCCAGTTGTTGTCGTTCCCATGACCAACTTCGACGGCGAGTTCCTTGGCAGTGGAGTGCTGAAGAACCGGGGAACCTCCTCGGGGGCCAAGCCCCAGCTGCTGACCTTCAGCGCCACCCAGCCTGACTATGCGGAAGAGTGCCAAGATCGCTACACACCAGGCAGCTGGGGCATCTAGCAGGGATTGCACTTGCGCAAAGGCACATATAATGCCGTGATGTGTCGTATAGCAGCAAAATAACCCAGTTCTGCGTAGGTGCTGAGCCTCTGCCTCTTCTGGGCTTGTGTGACCGGGAAAAAATCACCCATATAGGACCAGCTTGCTCACTCGGGGTGCCTTAGGGCCCGAACGCGCTTTGGCGCCTGGCGCTGGCCGCCTCGGCCTGGACTCCTTTGCGATTCCGGGGTCATGGATTCCCGAGACCTCTGGGCAGTTTGCGGCTTCAATAGGGTTTTGTCAAGCCCGACCGCCCACGGAACGTGATGAATTCCAGGCTGCAGACCCAGCCGGCACAAGTAGAAGATAGTAGGAGCATCTGAGCAGATGTTACTTGTTGGAGGTCCTGTTTGAATGTTAAGCGGCGTGAGCTCAGGGCAAGCGGAGCCCAACATTGTTTGGAAAGCTCGACAACCATGGGAATTTTTGGAGCCAAAGTTTCATGACAACAGACGCGACCATTCAAGAACCTGGAGTTGTCTCCAGGACCCATGAAGAACCACTTCCTCCACAGAAGATTCCTCCCTGAACTCATCCAATGCCCCGCCTGGGGTCGACCCGTAAACGTTTGCTGCGCATCGCAGACCGAGGAAAGCCGAAGCCGCATGTCGGTGCCAGGGGCTTCAGCAGTTAAGGGTGGTCGCAGCTGGCTCGGTGGGACCAAGGGTTTCAGAAAGGTTCCCCAAAAAAGGGTCCTGGAGAAGTTGCAACCAACCCTGGCGCAGGGCTTGGGTCATTCGTGGAGCTTCAAACAGCGCCCCTCAAAGGGCTTCCCAGCGGGGTGAGCGGCCTCCAAGCGGGGGGGGGGGGGGGGAAAGTGGGGCGGGTGTTGGGGGGGGGTGGACCAAAGACCGTTTGTTCCAGATGCCTTTCGTCCGGGGGCCGAGGCGTGTAGGGTGAGTATACACTATGGATAGTACAATGTATATGCAGCATCACGCATCCAGGCACGAGGGAATTCAGCCGAGAGGCGATGAATGAGAAGGCAAAGGAACTTCTTGGTCAAGATCGTGTGCCTGGCTTGTACCTTCAACCCCACATCCTGTACTATACCGGTAGATGTGTCGTATACAGCGTCGTGCAGTACGTATATAGTAATACAAGTATGCGCATGGACATATTGCATATACATACATATTCACATGCGCAAGTATGTATGCCCGGGTAGAGTCCTATCGCCTAGTACCACCTCAGAACTCCTTGCTGGCATTAAGGAGCATCCCTGCGGCTACCTCTACAGCGAGCCAAAGTCATCCCGTGAGGAATCCGCCCCAGGAATGTCCTGGTGGCCACAGAATCTGGGCTTCTTGTAGGGGATGTGCTGAATGCAGGGAGGGAGAACGAGACAGAGAGAGAGAGAGAGGGAGAGCGTGATGCACAAGAAGAAGAAAAAGAAGAAAACAGATGAAATACACGAGCAGCTGAGGAAAGAGTTGACCACGAAGGACGGGTGCTGCCGTGCAAGGTGCACAAGGTTCAAACGACATTGTTTTTTGGTCTTGACCTCTAAGCCCAAGCCTGTTGGCGATCAGATGCCTATGCAACGAGCGCATTCAGAAGTCATTCAAAGAGGCTCATCAGAGCACAACGTGTGCATGAAGCTACATTGCACCTTTACCCCTTGCGAACCAAAAGCTTTCATTTTCCGGAGGACTCTTGGACCGAGAACAAGGAGGCCATTAGGCAGACTATAACTCCCATCGTGACCGAAAACACCGGCCTCTAAGTGGCAACGTTGTCTCATGCGGAATTTTGAGCTTGAATTTGACTGCGAGTCTAAACTAAACTGTCACTTGCGATTGCCGAGAGCCCCAGGCAAACTGGGCATTCTGTACGACATCAAGCAGCTGGCCAAAGGCTCCAAGGCACGACAACCTTGCATGATGGCTGCATGTTATCACACATGGGCGGGGATCAATTGCACATCTCCTTCCCCCCCCCACCTTATTTTGGATGTTTCTCCCATAGTGAGCTTTTGGATTCTAAGCAGTACAATTTTGCCCCGTGCTGTTCCCCCTGACCCCCTCCGCTGCCCCTGGCATTTCAGCGAAGCCTCCGAAAGCGTCATAGGCCGCCTCCGCGAAAGGTTCAAGAGCAGGGCTACCTAATGCAGCCGCATGAGGGAAGGCAGGATGCCACAGTGCCGGGTTTTCGAGCCGAGAAGGCGGGTTTGGGAAAAGCAGGGGCGCAGCATGCGCCAGAAGAAGGAGTTTTCACGAAGCCAATGCCGCGTGGAGGTTCTCTGTCATCCGGCCCAAAAGCAAGAAGCAATTTGCACCAATTTGATCAGGCGGGTTCCAGGGTGGCAGGCCAGTCACGCAACTCTGATCCAAATGACAGGAGGAACTCAGGCCCAGAAGGGTGGGTTGCGCTTTGTCACCAACAGCTTGGTCCGACAGGTGCCCTGTATCCCTGAACCTTGAGGATGATGGGCCTAACGGCAGAAACAGGGTAACCTAGGATTACCTGGCGGGAGCAGGGATAAATCCTACACACTTGCAAGCACCGAAGATGCGCCGAAGATAGGATTGCCGCCTCGCGGCTGAGGGCCTAGTGCATTTGCAATTTACACTGTCAACTCTGACAACCACAATATCCCAAAAAAAACTCTTTGAAGCCTCTTCCATCAGAGGTCCGACATCCGCATCATCGCGCCTTCCGCGAACCAAAAGCGCCAAACCCCTTCCCAACCCGGAAAAGTCGTTGCCCGAGCCGAATCCCACAGAATCCCGGCAGGTGCCAACTTCAAGCAATCCTTGCAATGCCCAACCCTGAAGTGTCCTTGCAGCGCTGTCCTTGCAGCGCAATCCTTGCAGTGGCCAGCCCCAAAGAATTCCGCCAGTGCCCCAAGCTACAGAATCCAGCCCTGCTCATGCCCAAAAAACCCTTCTCATAGGCAGTTGCAAGCTTCATCAAGAGTGCAAGTGTCTCGGTCGGTTCTATTGGGCTGGTAAATGGCTGGTGGCACCGGTCTGCTGAACTGGTTTGCAGAAAGTTTGAATCGCGCCTTGCAGGCGGCAGAATCTGGTGGCTACGAAGATGGCGAAACTGGGAAGGGCATCACTTACCGCACTGTCAAAGAGTGTGCTGATCGAGAGGTATCCCGTGCACTCAGCCTTGGTCGAGAGAAGTTCAAGCTCGAAAAGAATCAGGTTGACTTCAAGAAGATGCAGAAGATTGGTGACCGCATCGCGAAGTCCCTACCGGACTTTAGCGTTGGTATTGGATCTGAGGTCGTCACGAAGCCAGCTCAGGTTGCAAACGCCGCCTTTCAAAAGGTCATGGACGTCAAAATCAAAAGGGAGGAGTTCCGGGAGCACACGAACGACCGGGAGTTTGCTCTGGCCGATGCAACCTGGCCAGCTCAGAGCTTCAAGCAAGGTTTGCCCATGCTCGTCATTTGAAGTGGATCGAAGAAGTATAAACCCTCATAAGTAAGTTGTGAAAGCCCGCAGTTTTTTGGAAGCAAGCACGTCTTGCAAAGATTTGAACATAATTATATAAGGCTGGTAGCCTGCTGCTTGGAGTTTGCAAAAAGCGATGCAAAGGCGAACGACTGCATGTCCCTTCAGCACGGTCTGGCTCGCATCTTCTGCGATTTGCAGCCTGGATGTACTGAGGATCATAGCGTCTAGGTTAGGATCATGGAACTTCGCAGAGGGTGCGGTGCAAACAAGCTTGCGATAGAAGGTACTTTTGTGTCCGTAGGAATAGAAGCTTGGAGCTTCATGAACCGGGGCATCTAGAGGTACTGCATCCGGGATTTCGTGAAACAGGGTGACAAGGCGATCCTGAGCAATCTGGAAAGGGCCACATTCGTTCTCAACGCCAACCTCAAGGCTCCGCAAGCTTCAAGCTCTACTCGTACTGAATTTTCTTTATTTAAGGGCTGTGTCCTGGGGCGAGCAATGGAGAGAGAGGTCACGAGGCAGCAGGAGTGTGCGGTTTCCGATGCTGGGTGCGCCCCTTCTCCCCTTCAACTGATGCGATCCGCTGCGCCGAGCACCCTGAAGCCCTAAAACGAGGTGTTGGGTGGGGGGCCTCCAAGGAAGTATTGGGAAACCCGAAAAGGGGTCCTTTCGATGCTGGGCGATGACATGGTGATGAAACAGGCTGCGTGGCAGACGCATTGACAGGAGATGTTGGGTGGGAAACCTAAACCCTAGAAGATGTGGGCCCTGGGCCCTAAAGCGAGATGCCGCATGGCAAATGCAAAACCTAAACGGATATGGTGGGTGGCAAACCCTGAGCGGTGTTGTCGGGGGTGTAATCGTTGTGGTTGAGTACTGATCCGGAGGACAGAAGGGCATCCAGCTATTGAACAACAATACGGTGGTTCGGTACTTTGGCCCAAGCCCTGCTGCATTCTGTTAGAGGCTTGAGAGTTCTGTTGCTTGGGGGCTCTGCGATGTATACTGTGTATTGTAACTTCTGGAAAGTGGCAAAGTTGCGTGCCTGTACCACATGAACTTGCTGAAACGGGTACCGGTCGGTTGGACTCGGGTCGGTTGCTGTGTTTATCCGGTGCTTGTTGTTGGGATTGGCCTTAGTTAAGCGACTCGAGTCTTGCAGGTTGTTGCAAACGGGCTGAGCATGAGCGGAAGCAGTGAGTTTCTGCTCGTGCCGAGACCGAGCGAGTGCGAGAGTCGAATCCCGAAAATTGGCCTCTTGATACCCCAAACCCTCAAAGGCCATGGTCAGGAGACACGTTGAGTGGCACCCCTTAAACCTGCAAGGAGATGCCTGGGTGGCAAGTTCCAAGCCCTCAAAGGAGATGTTAACCCGAAAAGGTGGTAACCCTTCAACCCGAAAAGGTGAGAAGTAGAAATTTGATTCTAAAGTCACAACTAAGCAGGGTGTTTGCCTACCCTATTCGAGGGATCAGGCCGTTTCGAAACCAACGAAGGATTGCAACTCAGTAGTTTTGACCACGTCACAAAACCTCAAAGTGACAAACAAGCGGGAAAAGATACAACTAATTGCGTGCTTCCGACATCTTCCGACCATCACAGCAGCTTTCACCGCCTGGCGATTGACACCAGCGGTGTCAAGGCGCATGAAAGAAAAGGTGGGTGGGAATGCAGTGCCTCCTTGTGTGGTGTAAGTTCATACAAGATGATGCAGTAGAAATGTAGCGGTGCGGGGCCACCTTTCTTGGAGCAAGGCGGTAAGACGACGAAGAGCTCCGGGGAAGAAGGGAGGGGTGCGGCCAGCCTTTTTGGAGGAAGGCAGTGAAGGTAAGGGCAGTGAGACGGGGGAATGCTAGCTCGAGGCCCATGGCCGAGGGCCGAGGAGGTAAAGGCAGAAAATGCAAAGGCCGAGATGCCTCGAGGGGTCGGCGGATAGCCTGTGTAGAAGAAGAATTACGCGCCATTCAGGCGAACCCAGCTATGGAGGCGGCAGATTGTGGTTCATTTGGTTTGTTGTCTCAAGTGCTTAGAGCCTACCACGGCCTCTTTTGAAACTTAAACGGAGACAACCACAAGTCCTCCAGGCTTGTTTTGCACATTTCTGCCTGTGTTTTTCTTGTTTCTGAGCGTCCAGCAGCCCATTGCAAAGCTGACAGATCATAAGGCATTCATTCCCCCCAAGCCCTTACGTCCTTCGGGAAGGAGCTCTTCAGCTTTTACCTTGGTGGTGGGGGTGCAACTGAGAAGTTGCTTGAGTCGTACTTGGGGAATGGCGGCGAGATCCAAAAGCTCTTTGAAAGCTACCTCGGGACCAATGACAACTCGGGAGTGTTGCTCGAAACGAACTATGCCGAGGTCATTGCAGGTCTGCACCAAAGTTTCTTGGAAATGCAAGGCCTGGCGCAAACCTCGGCGGCTCTAAGTCCCACAGCAGCCGCCGCCACGAGGAGGAGCCTCGAGGCCTTCATCTCACGACGATCCATCAACGGCGGAAACCACTCTCGTCGCAACAGCAGCCACCTCAAGGCCGGTCTCGACAACCTTGTCGGCGAGGTCAGCCTACTCCACACGCACATGAGCCGCAGCCATTCGCTGCAGCTCTCCAACTCTGAGGCTCGATGTGTAAACCTCCGGAACTTGCCCAGGGTTCGTTTTGATTGGCATTGTGCGCCTATGTGCGCCTGCTATCCCGTTGCAAGTTGTCGACAGATTTCCCCAGACCCCCACATCAGCGAGTATAAGCTTCTACGAGCCATGTCAATGGACGGGAGGTTGTAGCCCAAAAAGCTGCCGAATACGCCCGAGAGATGCTGCTTGGATTAGGGAGACTGATGCGAGGTTCAGTTGGTGCAGAGTTATCCAAAAAAGGTTTCATCAGCTCTGCCGTGCCCAGGAACCGGGTATGGAAGTCCAAGGCCTCGGCTTCCATGGACTGAGAGTTGCAGGGGTGAGGGTTTCTTGCAAAGGGTAGTGGCAAGGAGATGCCAAGCACAGTTCCTGAATTCTCTGCAACGGCGCACATGCATGGCCTGAGCCGTTGCGGAGTGTGCACTATATGGCAGGCCCACATCTTAGGCCTACATCGCCATGCAACCGCCAGGACGGGCCCGGCCTTGGTCTAATACAGAGCTATGCCCTTTCATTGGTATACCATTCCACTATGCAACTCTCTTTGGAAGTACTGCTCCCCCTTCCCTTTGAACCGCCGATTGATGTATGTCCATGTGTGACCTAGATTCGTCTCTTGTTTGGAGCGGCTCAGCAATCAAAGGTACGCGCAAAAAATCTGTCCCAAAAGTCTTAGCAGTGATGCTGACAAAGGCGGTTCCAAAAGCCTGCAAGAGGAGCAAGCGCCGTCAGACCTGGATCCGAGAACACGCCATGAAGGTAGGGTCTCGCGTTCAGATTTGTGGTTTCAACTGTGCGTGAGGCTTGGAAAATATGCAGTTGCAATCGCAACTTCGCAAGCAGTTTAGCTGAAGTAGAACCATACCTGTGCTTGCATCGAGAAATCCTTGAGGAAGCGTTCGAAGCAAAGGTGATGTCATGGGCTGGGTTTGCGGTATACAGAGTGGGTTTGGGGGGGGGGGCATCTTCTGGCATTACATTGGCTCGACCTCCAACGAACTACCCGTAAACTTTGCTTGACGGTAGTGTTCTCTGTCAACTGGATGTGTCTTTGGAAGTGTGCGAAGCGCAGGGCCTCAGTGAATGAAAGGTCTGAGGCAAGTGGTGTGAGAAGCACAAAAATCGTGGACAGCACGTTTAAATCTTAAAGTTGTGAGCATGAAAAAGTCCCAAAAGCAAACGCTAAGAACAAAGGCTTCGCCACGTTTGCGGTTGACCTGTATTATTCCGCTCCTTGTTCTCCTGTAGCTTGCTCTTCAGTCACCATTCCATCATACCGCGCATGGTGCGCATTCCGCTGTTGAACGTGCAAATCAGAGTTCACAAAATGCTCGCTGCAGGCACGCTACTTCCGTTCTTGAAATTGTAATGGCAGCTACCACACATAGTACTTGCAGTCCAAGTATGGAAACTTGCCATAGCTCCCACTGGCAAGTCGAACTGCAGCTATTTGCTCTACTGCTGCCATTACTTCGTTAATCTTATGGACGTCATGGTTGTGGGGGATGGCTGAAGTGCACCGTCGACTTCAAAGACAGAAGCATCTTTGGGATTCGCAGCTAATGTGTGTGTTGGTGCACTTTAAACGGGAACAAAAGCGTTTTGTGCCAATACTTGTCGCCACTCGCTCCAAGATCTTGCTGTGTGGGACCACAATAATGCTGCACTGCGTCCCTTTCCTGATTTACAATAAGGTGTTGCGATGATTGTTCTTGTTGTTGTACGTACATTGTTCCAGTACAATTTGTGCAGCGTCACAGAAGTGTCGGCTGCTAGCTGCTGGTGTTTGAGGTTCAGTCGACATGTCTTGTGTTTCTAAGAGAAGAAGCGAAACCCTGAACTCTTTTAGCTTCATGAGATGGAAGTTGGCAACCTCCACAGTCTAACAGGGCATAAGCCTTTTAAGCCACGGAAGGCCAAGCGATCTCTGATGGCCTCGGATTTCCGGGAGGAGGCTTGTTAGGTAGAGTCCTTGCGAGAGCAGAAGACAAGGACAAAAATCATTGCGACTCCCAATTATTAGTTTGCACATGAAGAGTGGTTCCTTGTTTTCTGTAGACCACGTGGGCGGCTTGCGTCGCGTTGACATTATTGGGCCGAACACCGTAGCCCTGTGCCGTGGAATATGGACCCAGCTTTTAGAGCGTGCCATATAGTTTAGAGAGTAGGTTAAATTGGTTCATGGTTTGACGGCAGACTGGCGCAGGATTTGGAGCTGTGGATTGGTACGTACAAGGGCTCTGAGTTCTGGGATCCACTCTTGCGAAGGTTGAAGTCGCAGACAGGTCACCGGAAACTCGTCCACCAATCCGTTGATCCTCTTTGGATGTTCAAGCTCAGGTAGGAAGCTTTGCCTGTTTGTAGCAGAGGCTGTTTACAGCTTCAGATTTCGCATTGGGCAGCTGGGCTTTGTGCCCTCCTTGGTATCTCGCGCTCTCAGCTTGTCAGGGTCTGCTTTGAGCGACTTATATACCCAGAAGAAGGTAGCCTGCAACCATGGTTTCTATACAAGTAGGAGTCTGGGCAGTTGAGTACCATGGGCGCATCATTTTGACAGGCGCAGCGGACGGCAATCGTCGGCCTCGACAAGACCTGGTGGGAGATCCGGGCGCAACTGGACAAGTACTTTGAGGCAGGGAGGTTTCTGAAGTATGTCAGTTGAGTTGTTCTCAATGTGCCACAAACAATTATTCCGACGAACGCACGTCAGCCGCGTCCACTGTCGGGATTTGTGCAAGCAGCTGGAAGGCAGGGAGGCATTAACCATCCCATGGCTGCCAGCATCGACCGGGGCACCGGCAAAGCTTTCACGTGTGCTTGCGTTGCGGTCTGCGTGTGTTTGTTCAGCAGGCCATGGACAAGCACTCCACAACGTACAAGGCAGTTTTGGTTGCGTTGGACGACTACACTTCAAGGCCAAACGCCGAAGTTTTCACTATGCCACGATGCAACTTCGTACTCAAGTACTTAAGTTCAAGGTTAGTGCGGCTGCGCGATTGCCTGTGGCCCGGACCGTGCGTTTTTCTCGAAGTCTGCTCGCAGTTTGGACGAAATTTGGATTCTCGCCTAGTCGCAAGCACGGCTGCGCTCGCCGTCCTCCGATTCCTCAGAACTGTCATCGTTTTGGGCTTCTGGGTTCGTGAATTGCGTAACTGTCGTTGCTTTGGATGTCTGGGTTCCCCGAATGCGAAGCTGTTGTCGCTTTTGGATGCCTGGGTTCACCAAATACGAAACTGGTGTTGCTGTTGGACGTTTGTGTTCGCCAAGTCCGAAACTCTCCTCGGGTCAGCACATGCACAAAAGCAGGCACGTGCAAGCGTAATGCGGCATCGTCCCTGTATGTGACTGATTGGTCACCTGCAGAGGTGTTCCATCGCCTTCCCAGAACTAAAGCACGCCTACATGAACTTTGTCCAAGTCAACAATGAGGCGCTGGGGTCCACACATGTAGGGACAGCTGGGCACGGTAATAGTTGAGTTGGATGTAGCTCCCTGAGATTCAGGCTGAATCGGTGCTGAAGGCATCCTGGACGGCTGTGAATCCTTTGGTTGGGTTCCTGGCCTCGCAGGCAGGACCAAGCCGTCAGCACTAACGTAGTTTGGGCGGGAATCATAGCCGGGAGTCTTGTACCAAGACGTTTCTCATCTTCGCCAGTTTATGAACACGCTGCAGGCTCGTCTTCCATTCGTTGTGATGTGCTTGGCAGTTTGAGTCAAGTTGCAGTATGGCTTGCATGCCCAGCAGCCTGTGTGAAAACATCTCAAATGAAAGTGTTGCAAGGGGTGCGGCAGATAGCGTCAGCCAAAATACACTGCACACGTCCACATTGAAGGTCGATACCCTTATGGCACAACCGCTGGGATTAGAATGATCCTTAGTCCTGGTGCGACATTTGTGTACTCTTACAGCTGTCGTGCGTGGAGGTCGTGGATGGTCAGTTGCTTCAGATGTCCACGCTGCACGACATTCAAGCGTTGAGCTCCAACGCCAGCGCTTTGTTTCAGGACGCCGCATCACCATTTCCCATGTTCAATCTTCACATGTTTGCCAGTTGCGATGGAACCACTAGGCTGTCTGTTTTGCTGGCATCCTCAGATTTGTATTGTTCGCTGTAACAGTAGCACTCGTGTGAGTCAGCACCACACTAACACACACCACGACAAAAGTCGCAGCAATAATGCGGGCGACCGACTACAGACCAAAGTACTATCACACCATTATATAAGCAAGACTAAAGCAAAACACAACACAATAAGTATAAGAAACACGAACTCAAAAGAGCAATAAGCCGTCAACCGCATAGTAGTTTTCGTCCTGGCTTCCTCCGAAAACAAAAAACGCTAGAGCATCTAACAAGAGCAACACGAAGCATGACAACAACAGAGTTCCAGAGGTAAGAGTCGTCACTATCGACACATCTGCAACGAGGGGACTGAGCAATAATTGAAGCAACAACAATAGTCAATCGTGGCTTTTCGTAACAATGCCACATTCCTGAATCCAGCATTGTTGACGGCCATATGCACTCGAGCCGGGACAGCAAGGAATTGGCTCCTCCCCCTGCATTCCTCATTGGCAGCGCAAGCTACGAAAAACCCGACCGTAGTTCCACAAGCGCTCATATGGTAAATACAGAATCACGAAAACGCAGGTCAAACGCAGGCCCATAGTGTGTTCGTTTCTGTACCTTGAATAGTTACAATCCCCTCATTGCACGAACATACTTGCCTAATAGCATTCAGAAATACAACAGAACTTGAAAACACGCAGAAGTATGATGATGATGCCAAACAGCTTGGTCATGCTATTTGTAGCAAAACTAATGCCATATGTAATGTAATGATAGCGGCAAAGCATAACAAGTACAATGACTAACAGTAATGAGAGCGATATTGCAGTTCGATTTTCTTTCTTCCTACCAACAGCAATCACAATGGAAACACAGCGTTTTACGTCCAGGCATTTCTCAACAAACACAGAATAGAGCGAATAGTCGCGCCTGCAAATGTATCCAGACTTGCTATACAACGGAAGAAAGGATTTCCTACCTAAGTCTCGAGGAAACGGTACCTTCCCGTTTTGTCCAGAACGCGGGAAGGATTTTGTCATAGCCCGCCTGTAATGTCCTGGCTGCTTATCTTATATTTCTGAAGTCTTCTTTCATACTGCAAACCACTCGCATTCACATTCGTACTGATGCTTTCAGTTTGGATATGTCTCCCCGAGCACGAGTCTTAGAGAGAAGTCCATCGTTCAGTGTGCTGGCGCCGACCTCAGTACATGCTTCAGAAAAAGTCTCGAAGAAACGTGGGGCTCCCTTGGAGACAGATCATTCCTGATCTAAATCTAAAGGAAATGCGGGGATGCCCCTCATCAAAATGTGGAGAGAATTTGGGGTACGACTGGGCAGAAACCGCAGTACACAGCAGCAGAAACAAAGACCGTCAAACATAATGAGCAGAGAATGAGGGGCCCCTCCCTAGAGTATGGTCTAGTATTGCATTGAGCAGAAAAACACAGTCTGCCAGCATGCCATTCTTTATCGTAGGATACCGTAGAATACGACAGTAGTCTCAACCCTGATTTCCGAAATCTTCGAGTCTCTGGAAATAATGGCGAAAAATGCGGGCTTGAGCTATAAGGGTTCGAGAGTTGGGGATATTTCGAGTATTACACTCTCAACACAAAACCTAGCTCCCCTAAACCCGACCGGACCCTAGACCGTAAATCGCCAGAACTCCAGCAAGAAATGGTCTGAGCTCTGCGCACAGCCTGAGAAGGCCATAGGTCAAGAGTTGAGGGAGAATCTGTGTACATGTTCAGGTCTTGTAGGGTGCTTGAGGGTGGTTTTTGGAGTTCAGGGCACCGGGGGTCACGCGTTCATAAGTTATGTGAGGCATTCTTTGGCTTTCTGGTGCGTGCACATAGCTTAGCAGAGCATCTAGAGCCCAGGCCTTGATGTAGGGGGGAGTGTGGGACTTGGGGTCAGGGGTTTTGGTTTTGGGTTCGGGAGGGAGCCATGAATGTGGAAGTTTGGGACTTGCATTGCTGAAAAGTTCTGATTTAAGATAGTGTTTTGGTGCTTCGTCACGCGAGTAGACGTTTCGGACAGATTGTGTGCCAGGTACATGATAGCACCTTAATGACAGTTTGGAAGCACCTTGAGGGTCTGGGATCTGCAGGGGGCTTAAAGAAGTCACAACCCAACACTTGAAAGCCCAAAAACTCGTCAAAGTCGGCACATGCAAACGGCTTTCAGGCCAAGAAGTTGGCCCTCGAGGCCGTGCACAATGCCTTGGACGATGGCCTTTTTGGGGAGATGGTTCACCAGCTGGACCCGAGGGGTTTGAAGGCTGTGGGGATTGCAGTAGGGCTTTGAAAGTCTTGCCTTGCTTATTCGTGGTTGGAGGATGCACTGTCGGGGGATTCAGCAAAAATTGTTGTCCAATAAGGCGCTGACTTCGTCCGGGGATCACGAAGCAACGCCGCTACTGTTGCAAGTCCTGCAGGCCAGAAGGCATGTCCCTGCAGAGCGGCAACAAGTTTCTGTAGCCTGAGAACAGCCTGGAAGGAAAAGCCCAGGACCCTTCTTCTTGTCCAAGCCGCATCTCTGTTGCCCCCGAGGACACAGTCTTCTTGGAGCTACGGATGATGGAGCAGCGCTTCCAGGAGAGTGCTGGATCTGAGCTAAAGCGGCTAATGGCACGCAAAGCGGGACCAAAATGTGCAAGGGAGAGTTTGAGCATTAAAGGGCTTTCAAGGGCTGTGAACCCTCTTCACAAATTTTGACGTCAAAGAGCTGGTACCCATCATCGCTTGATCTCAGCGCACAGATTTTGATCGTAATTACCAAAACAGATCCAAATGCTTGATTTGATTGACTAGCAGGCTCACCCCATCCAAAAGCTAGAAATTTTCGAGTCCCAAAGCTCCCAACACAGACACCATCCTGTAAGCACTTGCTTTGCTCGGGAAGCACTCTAGCTGCGCGACTGCTTCACGTACAACGTGCGATTTTATTCGCTGTGGCTTGCCGGAGTTTAGGCGCGGCCGTGTCGCTTCCCCGTAGGAGGCGAGGCTGGACACGCCCTCAAACCAAGATGTTCTCTCGGACGCCAAGCTACGGCTCGAAGAGGCCTGTGAGATGTTTAGGCACTGTTCCGCACAAGTTTCAGCTCCGGGGCCCCAAGCACACACGGTCACTCCCCAATCATAGCCCTGTGTGGAAGGGAGCCAAGATTTGATGCACGCGGTCAGTCAGGGACCTTCACGCGATGCCTTCTTGCCGTACATTTGGCACGTTACCCTTCTGTCTCTGCTTGTGTTCTGTACTTCCCTTTCACTTGATGTTCGAAAGTACTCCTGTTGCAGTAGACGAGGCCGTCCAGGAGGAACTTGACGGCATGCCCATGGAGAGCGAGTTCCTATGGCAGCAGTGGCACAAGCAAGCCTGCGAAGTTTGAGGCCATTTCATCCATGAAAGTTGGAAGATGGGCAGCCTGCTCTTGTCTGTAGTGGTTTATTTGGCGATACTATGGTAGTTCCAGCCGTCGTCGTCGTCGTGGTAGTAGGGGTAGAGTCGTCGTAGTAGTAGTCGTAGTAGTAGTCGTGGTAGTAGTTGTAGTAGTAGTAGTAGTAGTAGTAGTAGTAGTAGTAGTAGTAGTAGTAGTAGTAGTAGTAGTAGTAGTAGTAGTAGTAGTAGTAGTAGTAGTAGTAGTAGTAGTAGTAGTAGTAGGAGTAGTAGTAGTAGTAGCAGTAGCAGTAGCAGTAGCAGTAGCAGTAGCAGCAGTAGTAGTAGTAGTAGTAGTAGTAGTAGTAGTAGTAGTAGTAGGAGTAGTAGTAGCAGGAGTAGTAGTAGCAGGCGGGTGGGGGGGGGGGGAAAAAATTGTTAAAAGGGGGTTTCTAGGGCATGGTCGTTGTATGTTGTCGTGTCTGCTTCAATTGTTGTTTTTCGTCACTGTCTCCCACTTGTTCTCTGCCCTCGTCACCTCCCTCGTTTTTTATTTTCCTCCTCTGGGGTCTGTTTCATTCGTTGGGTCTCTGCTTCGTTTTCTTAAAAGCGTGTCTCATTCGTTTTTTCATCTCTCTTCGTTAACCTTGTCACCTCGCTCGTTTTTCGCCCACTCCCTAGTACCGGTCACTCTCATTTAAGTATTTGTTGCCACTCATTCGTTTTCACTTTTCCCCCCTCTTACCTCTCCAACACTTTTTGACTTCTCCCTCTCATTCGTTTTGTCTTGGTTTGTCTCTAAGCTTAGCTGGGCTTTAGTTAGGCGGTTCGTAGAATCGGCTAACATAAAGCCATGATTGTAGAGCTTCGTGTTAGCCATTGGGTTAAGTTTTGGGTATTCCTGGGGCTTAGTGGGCGGTTCAACCATTATATTATATATGTTAATAATATCATGGTTGCTTCATCTAAAAAATGCGTTGAACCCATTGTATAACTTTAATATAATTAAAATAGTCTTTATATCCTCTGGCATGATGTTTTATATATTGATAGAATAGATGTTTTAAAACATCATAGAAAGGCATTCTATCATTTCTATAATAAAAAAATTCATCTTCTAGGTCAGTTTCATCAAAAATAGAATACCCATTAGAAGGACATGCTTCAGAAAACCATTGTTTATATTCATCAAACCCTTTCAGATAATAAGTGTCATTAACAAACTTTACAAGCATCCCTTTTTTACAGCTTTCCGACTTTCTAATTAATTCTTTCATATAGGTTTTCTTATCTTTCAATGTTTTTAGTTTGTTGTATTTGGTGTCTAGATGAGTGTAGATAAAATTAAACAACTTTGCCTCCCTACTATATTCTTTATATTCTTCCTTTTCATATTCTAACTCATATTTCATCATATCAGAACATATATGACAACTCAGATAAGATACAATGTTATTAACAGTTCCAGCATCAAAAACCAAATTTAAGACTACTGTCTTTCTATTCCTATGACATCTACACACATAACAGTTCTTATCAAAGTTAAACAAGCTCATATTCTCTCTCTCAATATACTAGGGCGTTATGTCTTTAAGTATATGTTTAGTCCATTTCATTTAAATCATTATTTTTGTATTCGTTCCTTTCTTCTTCGCTCATCTCTAACATAATATTAACATTTCTTGACTTTCTTATTTTCTTAGGGTATTTTATATATAGTGCTTCCATCTGTTTAAAAAGCTTATCCTTCTTTGTTTGGTTTTTCTCCTTATTAAATTGGTCATTTAACTCTTTGAATTCAGAATTGAATTTATGCTCGTTGCTTTTCAAGTGTCTATGAAAATATGGGCGCCAATACAAACCCTGTCCGTATATGCTACAAATTTCACACTCAATAAATCTACACATCGGCTCTTTCTTCATTTTCTCACTCAATATATTATATAGTTTTTTCTTTAAGTGCATTTACTCATCAATTAATAAAATTTCGTGTCTGTTGTATTTTTTACTCAATCCATCCAATATATAGTGTTTGTTTAGTTGTCCATCTCTGCCTACTTCCTTCACCTCATAGGTTCTCTCACTCCACTGGTTCCTACTTTCTTTACGACTAGTATAGTTACCCTTTCCCTTTACAAATATTTTAACTTTATCCCCGACCTCTACCTTAGGATATTTTCTCAAATATTTCTCTTTTAAAACAGAGTTAGATTTTACTGTAATATGGTTGTCGTCCTTGTGCGCTTCATTTGGTGTCATTCCAGTCGTTGAATGTTTCATTGTTTTATTATACTTGTCCAACGCGGGTTTCAATAAGATCGTCCAAGCCCCTTTAGTTACCAAAGCCCTATCGCCTATCATCTTCTTTATTGTGCGAATAAATCTCTCTGCCGTATTGGCATGGGTTAATGTTATGACGTGATCTATTCCTTCACCTTTCAAAAACTCTTGAAGTTTATTAGATTTGAATGAACCCTCATCGTCTGAATATATACTGTTTGGAAATCCTAACACCTTAAAGCACTCCATAAAGGCATCATACACGGTATCACCATCCCTATTCTCCATAGGAACGATATGAGCCTTCTTACTAAAATTATCTATACACACCAGCCCATAGCGTTTATACTCCTCCTTGAAGGTGTCAGTGTCTTTCATCAAGCTTACCATATCCATAATATCAACGCTAAAAACAGCCCTCGCATAAGGCGGGGAATAGCTATTATAATTCTTGTAGTTTCTTCTCTGATTGATGCTTTGCTTCTTCACCCAATCCTTAACATACTGCAAAGTGACACCTGCACCATCCTTGTTAGCTTCCTCATACAAACTTCTAACAGATCCGTAACCGCGCTCAAGATCATAATATATTTTCTCCAATATCTCATTAGCACTCATAATTAATAATAATTAGATAATTAATTATTATTAACCATGTAAAACCTTCATAATGATTTTATCCGCTATCTCCTTTTGTTTCCTATCTTCATAAACTCTTTTACACCTTTCACTGTTCTGATGCTTGGCTTTATTGCTAGTGCTACTTATGGTTTTACCGCACCTTTCACACTCAAAACATTTATTATTTTTCTTAAAATATTCATTAAAATAACCTTCATTTTTATTCTTTTCATTCAACCTATCATTATAGACTTTCTTTTTCTGTTTCTTGATGATCTCCGAACTGTCGCTATCAGTTGTAGAAACATCATCACTCTCAAAGGAGTTCCAAAGCAGGTCAAACAAATCGTCGTTTATCGTGGTTTTAATTCCATCATTGCCAACAAAGTAGTTAGTAGCCATTTATTTTATAATATGAATATTTCTTTAAATTGCGTTAGCCATTAAAGAAATATCTCATTCGTTTTCAAGCTATGATCTACTACTGGACGCAGAACTAATAACAATAGGGGAACTTTTAACTGATATGTGAGAACTTCTAACCGAAATGGGGGAACTTCTTACACTAATGGGTCTGTTGCTTCTTTCACTACCATAATGTATGGTTGAAGCAGGGCGAGAACTACCGTAATGTATAGTTGATGAACGAGAACTAGCATTACTACTAGCTATAGGTAGATTATCGTAAGGATCACTAGGATGATGCGAAATAGAAGAGCTTGATGATGAAGGTAAAGGCGTTTCATCTTTTTTAGTAGGCATTGGTTCATTGCTTCCCCTTGCTCCACTATCATTACTTGTTTGCCTTGATATTGGCATTTCTACTTCCACCTCTTCAAACAAACTATCAAACAATCTTCTCATAAATGATTTTTGTTGTTCTTGTTCTTGTTCTTCTGATTTTTCGCTTGATTTACTACTTGATTTACTTGTTTGCATTGAGTGCTCACTCTCAACCTGTTGTTCTTCTTTGTCTGGTTCAATTGCTGTCTTCAAACTTTCCGATGTAGATGAGTATGAAGAATGGTCACTAAATAAATCAGTTTGCGTTCCTTTCTGGGGGTTCTCGTTAGTCATTATGATCTTTTTGTCATATTTACCCAGATCAAAATCATCAAAATCCACCTCATCTAATAACATTCCTTGTTGTGTTCTTCTTTCCCTTTCTGGTAATATTCTTAATCTTCTTGTTCTGGCCTCCCTTAACATTTCTTCATAAGTTGGTTTTAACCTTAGCATATATTTAGTTTTAGATATTATAACAAACTCATAACGGCGCTTTGAGCACCTGCGATTAACGCATCCTTTGCGACTTCCTTACCTGCATCTAATAAAGCACTCCCCGCGCTTTCAAACGCTTTTCTGATCATACCTTTGCCTTTTCCTTTCTTCATCTGCACCCATTCTTCCATCCTACTTCTTAAAAGTTGGTCATTAACTTCGTCCGCCCACTTGCCCGTTTGTATTAGTCTTTCAACATAATTTAATAAATAATCCTTTTTGGTTGGTGTTTTGCCTTTTCCTTTTATTTTTAATTTTCCCATCTCCTCTTCTTGCTCTTCGGTTAGTTGTATTCCCCTTAAATGTAATTGATACAGTATGTCATCTACTGATATGTCTTTTTGTCTCCATCTATCTATATTTTCATTATAATCTATTGTTTCCTTATGTTTTCTAGATTGTGGGGGCACTTGTGTTTCTTCATCATCGGTTTCTTCTTCTTCCTCCCCCTCCTCTGCCACTTCAGTAGGTGTTTCTAAAGGTGGCATTTCTTCTTCTTCATCTGTTGCTATTGAATGAACAGGAACGCCTACAGGTAAAGATTGACTATGCGCTTCGTCTAAATCACTTCTCACTGTTGATGATGATGCTTGTTGCGCTTGTCGTTGTTGTTCTTGGTGTCTGTCCATTTCCGATCTTATCCTACCGATTTGATCTATCGTCATCCGATAATCATCACTGTCTGGTGTTTCAAAGCCATCCGCGTTATAAGCACCTACCGGCGTTCTACCGTCATAACTTAACACTCCCATTGATGAACCCGTAGCCATTGCCGTTTTTCTGAGTTCGGCTTGTCTTAAGTCTTCCTTAACTTTGTCTTCTTCTTGTTTC